CTTGAAAAATAAACAAAACAGGTTATGGGTCAAATATCAAAGCTCAGAGTCCTTAAGAGTTATCTGTGCATCCATGTAGACAGCAGCACTATTCGCAGTAGCCAAAAGACAGAAGCAACTCAAATCCATTGACAGGTGAGCAGATAAACACAATGCGGAATATACATAACCGCGGAGTCTTATTCAGCGTTAAAAAAGAAGGGCCAGCCCCTAGCATGGTGGTTAAATCCCATACACAGGGAGCCAGATCCCACCCACATGGCCAACTATAATCGGAATCCCTCCCTGGCAGCTTAAAAACCATGTTGGTCTATGCCCAAAGTCTGTCTATGTGTATGCCCCAAATTCTGATGGGATAGTAAAAGGAATTATGGCAATGACCACATTGGAGGGGTATCTGCACTTTCCCTGGGGTGAACATGTAACAAAATCCTGCCACATACTACAACGTGGACAAACTTGAAGATATGGGACTGGCAGGTGGCATGGAGTTTAAGGTGCTGGACTCCCACACAGCCAACTGCAGTTCAAGTCCCAGACCTGGTGACTTACTTTCTCACTTTCCCATTCTCTTTGATCAAATTAAAAAATAGTAACAAATAAAAATTAAGTAACTTAAGAACTTGAAGACATTATGCTAAGTGAAATAAGCCAATCATGAAAAGATACATACTGTATGATTCACTTATATGAGGTATCTAAAACGGTCAAACTCATACAGATAGAAAGTAGAATGGTGCTTACCCTTACTAGGGAGAGAGGGGTTGTTGTTTAATGATAGAGTTTCTACTCTATTGAGATAAAAAATTCCGGAGATGTGTTTCACAATGATGTGAATATACTTAATAAACTGTATACATTTAAAAATGGTTAAAATGATAAAACCATGTTTTTTTGGGGTTTTTTTGGTCACAACTAGAAAAAAATAAGAAAAGTTAAGTGCTGAGCTTGAACCTCCAGAATTGATCTGGTGACTTGCCTGATGGTGGATTTATGTTGCTCAGCTGGAACTGGAGCAAAGACTTGCTGCATTGGCATAATCTCACCACACCCCAGGAGGGCACTAGTTTTATACCAGATCAACCTGAGCACCAAAACCCAAGCTTAACTGTGAGATTACTCCCCCAAAATATAAGCAAACACCCCACTTTTGACTTTATAATTTCAGTTATTCCTTCCTTCTCTTTTTATATTTGAGACAGCAAAGATAACTGCCACGTTTAAACTACAAAAGAAAAACAATGACTTTTCAGTGGAAATCTACTCTGAATACAGGTCACTGAGAAAGGCCACGCCAAGTTCAACTGCTAAAACCCCCCAAATAAGCAAATACAACCCACAGGTACATACAGAGTGTAAATTAGGTAAGTCAACAGGCATTTACACAGCAAGAAGTTATTTTATTCATTTCCTCCATTCCTCCTCTTTTTTTTTTTTTTTTTTTTTTTTAAATTTGAGAGGTTTTTGCTATAGGATGTGTGCTTACAAGGACAGAGAGAGACAGAGACAGAAAGCGAGAAATCACCCCCCAGGGGGGATGGCCATGCCACAATCTCTTCTCCTCCATTCTCCTCTCAGGATCTTGGGCACACACACACACGTGCCTGGCATGAGTTTAAGCCACTGGGTCCAGGACTTGAACTGCGGTCAACTACAGGGGAGTCCAGCCATTACGCCAACTGCTGGTCCCCCTCCATTCCTTCTTAATAGACTAACTCAACAGAATATACGTATGTCACTGAGTGCAATGACCTTGTCAGTCTCGTCTGCTAGAAACACAGCATCTAGCATAGCCACAGTATGTGCATCATAAGTATTTGGAGAGAGAATAAATAAATCGACCTTGCCTGTCAGAAGTAAAGAGCCACTAACCTAAGGAATTCCAACATAGTTTTACACCAGAAGGGAACCCAATGCCTGCTCTGCCAGGATACTAATACCTTCAGGACAGGAATGACACAGCCAAAACAGGGAACTCCTTCAGTATTTGTGAAAATAACACAAAATGGAACATTCTTCATTAAGAACAAAACACTATACTCTGACAATATTCCAGTTCAACCTGTCGTATCTCCTGCGACCAGGCAACCACACACTTTACTCCTACCTTTAGCCACTGTTAACTTCTTGCTATTCTTCCAACGTAAGACCTTCTGCTCTGAACCTCCATATCTTCATCCATGCCCTTCTCTCTGCCCCAAATATACTCTCGCATCCTTTTCATCCAGGAAATGCTTACTCATATTTCAATATCCAACAAAAATGTTCCTCTAATGGGGCCATATGGTGGACAGCAGCACGCAGCAAGCTGAGGCTGACCCACACGGCAAGTGTCGAACATGCACCTGGAGACCTTCCTGGGTATGCTGGGTGCCTATGATCTGGCGCTGGCTGAAGCTGGGAGGGGATCTAGGTATGAGGATCCTGTTGAGGGTAACATCTCTCTTTCCAATAATGAAAAGAATGAAGGGAACCAGCAGTTAGCGTAATGGCTATGTTGCTGAACTCCCATGTAGTCGACCACGGTTCGTGTCCTAGACCCGGTGGCTTTAAAACTCACGCTGGGCACGTGCACGTGTGTGTGTGTGCCCAAGATCCCAAGAGGAGAATGGAGGAGAAGGGACTGTGGCATGACCATTCCCTCTGGGGGGTGATTTCTCGCTTTCTGTCTCTATGTCTCTGTCTGTCTGTCTGGCGAGCGCACGCGCCCTATAGCGAAAACCTCTCCCCCCCCAAAAAAAAAAGAACAAACAAAAAGTTCCCTTTACTTAAAATCTTCCCTAAATCAACTGCAGAGAAACAAGTACCATCTATGTCCCCTGTACTCCCAGGGCACTTTACAGTTATATTGCTACAGGACTCATTGCTGTTCCATTTAATAAATACTGACTAAATGACTCGGGTTGTAATTACTAGAGTGTAAGCTCCTCAAAGGTCAGGGTTATATTTGCTTCTTCAAAGTTAGTGGTTCTCAACAGGGGAAGATTTAAGCCCAAGGGGACATTTGCTAATGTCTGGAAACATTTTTGTTGGTCACCAATGAGAGAAGGTTGCTACTGGCATCTAGAGAGTAAAGGAGAGGAATATGCTAAACATCCTAATTATCTGGCCTGGGCTGGCTCTGTGGCCTAGTGGTTAAGGCAGCTGGACCCTACATGGCTGACTACGCAGTTTGAATCCAGGCCCCAACAGCCTGAAAAACACACCAGGAATGTGTGTGTGTCTGCTCCAAATCCTGGCAAGGTGGGAAATGGAGGGAAGGGACTGCAGCATGACCATACCCTGTTGAGGGTGCTTTCTCCCTTTTCCCTGTCTCTCTAGAGAAAAAAAAAAACCTGGCCCCAATCAATAATGCTTCTGTCAATCTAGATTTATCTTTGAACACCTAAAAAGAATACCTGGCTCCTAACAGATTTGTTATTGAATAAACTGCTCAACAGTTTTCAGTAAGTATGTGAGGTCTGACAGGGCTATGAAATCAGGTCGAAGAAATGAGCTTTTACTACTGAAAGAAAGGTCTTGGCTTTTCTACTTTCCCTAAAAAAAAAAAAAACACCTCACATTAAACTACCTCTAAGTCAAAGCATTCACACCCACATGCCTAAGAAAAGCCACTAAGACATAAAGGGTACCCTTGTAATTACCTTACCTAAGGTAAATTTTATTTCCATTTTCCTACCCACAGGTCAAGAATACCTTTGGGGCCAGCCAGTGCTTCATGGTTAAGGCAGTTTGATTCCACCTGGCTAACTGCACAGTTTGAATCATGGCCCTGGTGGCTTGAAAAACATGCTAGGCATATGTGTGGGTACATGCCCAAAATCTAGATAGGAAGAAAAATGGAGAAGGGATTGTGGTATGAGCATCCCCATGGGGAATGCTTTCTCACTTTCCTTCTCTTTCTCTCTCTCTCGTTCTCTCCCTCATTCTCTCCCCCTCTATCTCCCTCTCCTGTGAATATACATGCCCTCTGGCAAAATACAAAAACAAAAAAACTTAATAAACATGGGACCAGCAGTTAGCGTAATGGCTATGTCCCTGGACTCCCATGTAGTCAACCGCAGTTTGAGTTCCGGACCCGGTGGCTTAAACTCATGCTGGGCCCGTGTGCATGCATGCCCAAGATCCTGAGAGGAGAATGGAGGAGAAGAGATTGCGGCGTGGCCATCCCCCTGGGGGGTAATTTCTCACTTTCTCTCTCTCTTTCTAGAGAGTGCACGCACAAAAAAAAGCTCTTAAAAAAAAAAAAAAACACTTTATAAGCATGATTGGAATTTAAAAAGGAAGTTTCAAATGTATTTCTGGAGAGAGAAAGAGATCCCTGTTTAGGAATCCCCAGTAGGATCTCGTCGCACTGCAGTTCTCCCGAATTTCTAGCCAGGATCATGGTGCAGGAACCTGGCATCTTAAGATCAACCCAAAATCCGAGCCCTGGGCCTTTCCATACGGCTCCATTACTGCGCAGTGATGCCCTACCACCTGCACCTCTGCGGATGGGCCTAAGTGAACAATGTTCCAGGGCTGACCTGGTAACACAGCAGTTTGGCACTGTGCAAATGGAACAGGATCCCAAATCACTGATCACAGCTCAAATCCCAGCCCCAGCAGCTTGAAAAACACTTGTGGATGCCTGGAATCTGTACAGGATGGAGAAATGGAGGAAAAAGGACCACGGTGTAACCACATCCTACTGAGGGGGTATCTTCTTGCCTTCTCTGAGTGTGCATAGCCTCAGGCAATTTTAAACATGTTTTAGTCTAATTTTTTAAAGAATTATTTTTTAAATTTTATTTACTTATTTATTTCATTTGACCAGAGAGAGAGAGAGAAAGTGAGAAAGCAAGCTGCCAGGTCCAGGACTTGAACCATGGTCAGTCACGTGGGAGTCCAGCGCCCCTAACCACCACACCATCTGCTGGCCCCCAAAATCTTGATTATTGCCCCTATAGTTCTTTACACCCTTTGAAAGCTTCTCCTAGAAGTGTCTCATTCTTCCTTACCACTGTTAAATTCCGTATTTCTTCCATGACCCGAGGCCAGAAGGACTGGAGGCTTTGCTGGGCATCACTGCTGCTGGTCCCACCGAATCCGCCTTCCGTGGACATGTTGACAACTGAAACGAACATATACACGGCACACATTAGAAATAAGAGACTTTCTGCCTAGGTTCATCATTTCATACGCATCCTTCTTTGGAGATGTTTTCACTAATTCATTCGGCTTTTCAGTCTGGTAAGGTATGTCATTGTGCTGAAGAGACTTTCAGCACAGATTTCAACCTCAGCAAAGCATCCGGAGGAAAGTTTTCCCTTCCACCTCATTTACACTACACAAACTACAAAGAAGCTCCAACTAGGAAAGCAAAAGTTGCCAGAAATCCAAACTGAAAACTTAATGTGCATTGAGGCCTTGCAACCTCTTCAGGACTGAGGACAAGCATGCAGTCCCCTTAGTTAGTCCATAATGTGCAATGCCATTCCCTGGGTGCAAAGCTTTTTCAAGTTCTCCATGCCACAGTGTGCAAAAAAACAGGTGAGTGGTCCCCGATGACTAATACTGTACAGAAATGTGAACACAAAGTCTTTAAAGGTAAAACATAGGTTTATTCTTCTGTTTTAGAAACAGCAGTCCCGGGAACCAGCAGTTAATTAGCGTAATGGCTATGTCGCTGGACTCCCACGTAGTTGACACGGTTCGTGTCCCCGACCCGGTGGCTTAAAACTCACACCGGGCGCGTGTGCGTGCGTGCCTAAGATCCCAAGAGGAGAATGGAGGAGAAGGGATTGTGGTGTGACCATACCCCCTGGGGGGTGATTTCTCGCTTTCTGTCTCTATGTCTCTCTCTGTCTGTCTGGCGAGCGCACGCGCCCTATAGTGAAAAACCTCTCAAAAAAAAAAAAAAAAGAAACTGCAGTCCCATTTCCCTCCCGCTACTGGTGATGATTATTCCTTCTAATCTCAGGTGAATCTGCCCTAAAATACATAAAAATGCTCAAGACCAGGCCAAGTACTAAGTGGGTAGCAAGAAGTCTCTGAACTAAAACTATAATACTTCCTCTTTCTTTCTCTTTTTTAAAAAAATATTTTATTTAACTGTATTTATTTATTTATTTATTTATTCCAATTTGATCAAACAGGGAGAGAGAGAAAGAGGGAAAGTGAGAAAGCAAGCCGTCCAGGTCCTAGACTCAAACCATGGTTGGCTATGTAGGAGTCCAATGCCTTTAACCACCATGCCGCCTGCTGACCTGTACTTCCTGCTTAACCTGAACTTTGCTATGAGGCATGGCATAGTTCAGGTTAATACAACAGCAATAAGAAGCTTTAAAGAAGGTTGAGAAACAACGGGGGAATTAAGTTAGGCGAGAAGAAGGTCAGAACTAACATTTGGCAATAGGGTGTTTTTGGTTTATTTTTTCAGTTTGTTTGTTTGCTTGTTTTGATTTTTTTTTTTGTTTTTTTTTTTTTTTTTTTTTTTTTTTTTTTTTTTTTTTTTTTTTTTTTTTTGCTATAGGGCACATGCTCTTGCCATAGAAGGATAGTGAGAAATCACCCCTTCCCCAAGGGAGGTGGCCACACTGCAATCCCTTCTCTTCCATTCTCCACCTGGGATTGGGATTTGGGACACACATAAACACACGCAGGCACGCACATGCCCAGCATAATTTTCAAATCTCCAGGTCTGGGACTTGATCTGTGGATGGCCATATGGCAGTCCAGAACCTTGACAACCATTCCAACTGCTGGCCCCTGGCCCATAGCTTTATGATGGAAGAGTGGAAGAGGAAGATGAGTAAGGATCCCCACCATCGAACAGTGACTGTAGGTAACATCTCAAAAGATTTATGGGAGAAAAAGTAAAAACCTCCAAAAGGCTTAAATGCTTATTTGGCAAATAACTCATTCTGCACGAAACAGTTAAACACAAAGAATGACATACTTGGTGATCTAAACATTTCTATTCTAGGGAATTATTTGGTAAGTTTTAACATGCCAGTGACAGGACACTGGTGATATAAGCCATCAGGAATAATGCTGAGGGGCTGAAAGAAAAGCTCCAAAGCCAGGTGTCACATGACCGAATGTGTTACTTTCCAGGCTCCATGTGGACGGGTACTGGGCAGATCACACTCCATCAGCAGAGTGATCAATCTACATTTAGCCTACAAGGATGTCTGATTCACTCTTGAATGTCTGCCTACAACTGTCCCAGAGAACTCTAGGGTTTTGTTTTGTTTTGTTTTTTCTCTTCTAAAGGAAATGATGAGAGGAAAGAAATGGAAAAAAAAAACAAGAGTACAATCTTCAAAGCAGATTTTACTCTGGTGTAATAACATTAGTGGGTGATGATGTAATGGGAAAAGGTTTAGAGCCAAACTTCTGATGTGAGAGGCCTATAAACAGTTCTATACATCAACGGGAACGCATAAGTACCTGGGAAGCAGTACGATTTTAGAGTTTCTGTAGGGAGTTAAAGGGAGGTGTTGAATCATAGTTGGGAATGACTAAACTTTCTAACTAAGTGAGATCCCCTCCACTCAGCCCCCATGACATCTTCACTTATTATCACAAGCACATGGCCTTAGATGTACTGAAAACAAAGAAGTAAAGGGAATCTATATTTTTATTAGTAGTTTCCTAGGAAATACGACAATGAAGAGAGTGAGACTTGATCTAACCTTTTTTAAATGGGGCAAATAAAAAATCTTTTGGGGGGACCGACAGGTGGCGTGGTGGTTAAGGGCGTTGGACCCCCACATGACTGATCGCAGTTTGAAACCTGGATCTGGCAGCTTGCTTTCTCACTCTCCCACCTTCCTCTGTCTTTTTCTCTCTCTCACACACACACTGTCCCTCTCTGGTCAAATTAAAATAAAGTTAAAAATTAAAAATTAATAAACAAATAATGTTAAATAAGATAATTCTTTGAAAAAATATTTTTGGAAACTGCCTTGTGATGAAGGAGGAAGAAAAGGATTCAACATGGGGTGGGAGGGAGAAGGAGGGGACACCTGAATGCCAGTATGGTATCTTTATATGCATACCAATGATAGGCAGCTAGAGTGCAAAGGTCTATGAAATTGAGAATACTGGAAACAAGTCTGGGCTGTCCTCTGATCTCCCAAAAACATTACAAAGGCGTGCAACTCAAGAAGCACTTTTAGAGCCATCTGCACAGTCTGCTTTTAAATTCTGAATCGCCCCAAGTATGGATATGCTGGTAGAAACATCTGTGCAGTCAATAGATCATGAATGAATCTTTAGCTGGCTCAGAGCCACAACTGTTACAGTGGGAGCTCGGTACAACACAGAAGTTACCAGGTCTTTCTGAATCTGAAAACGTAGTAAAGATTAAGTTTTTAACTGTAGAGGCCCATCCCATCTGCATTAGAAAGTCACAAATGGATAATGGAAAAAAAAAACAAAACATTAACAATAATGTCTTTTATATTTTACTCCGTCATAGGAGTTTAGGTCTGCATAAATACATTAAGATACACTAGGTCTGGGAACCAGTAGCTAGCGTAATGGCTATGTCGCTGGACTCCCACGTAGTCGACTGCAGTTCGCGTCCCAGACCCGGTGGCTTAACACTCACGTGAGGCACATGTGCGTGCGTGTCCAAGATCCCAAGTGGAGAATGGAGAAGGGATTGCGGCGTGACCATCCCCCCGGGGGGTGATTTCTCGCTTTCTGTCTTTATGTCTCTGTCTGTCTGGCGAGCGCACGCGCCCTATAGCGAAAACCTCTCCAAAAAAAAAAAAAAGATACACTAGGTCTATCCCTCTATGCAGTGAGTGCTCACAGTTCCTCTTCAACCTCTGCCCAACCCCCGCAATCTACCTTCCGTGCTCAGCCAACTCAAAACTGAGTGCCTCCCTCTCCAGTTCTGGGAAACTGGTTTACCAGTAAGGCATACTTTTCTATCTTTGGACAGCACTGACTGTTCTTCTTTACATTAAGTTTAATTTACAAGCTAAGTTCCATTTGTGCTTCGAATTTAGAGTTCCAGTCTTTATGATTTTTCCATCCGCCAACATCTTTTTATAAAGTCCTGATTTCAAAGACAAAGGTACTCTATCAGGAACACAAGATCCTCTCAAGAGGGAAAAGAGTTTTGAAAAGGTTTGGAGTACAATTTCTAGTATATTTGCAAAGATGATTAGTAATAATATCTCTTGGAAGAACATAGATTATTATTGTAAATTCTTGAAAAAGGTGAATACTTTTATTCCTAAAGCTAATCCATTCTCATGGAGCTTTAAAAAAACAGACCAAATCTCACGCAATACATTTTATGGGAAACATATTAGTATTGGTATTTTCTCACTGAGGCAAGATTTAACACTAAAATAGTAAAACCTAATCATAAACAAAAACTACCAGGTTGTCAAAAAGTCATGATGTATTTTTTCTATGTTTTGTATGCAAAAATGTGTTATGACTTTTCTGTCTACCCAACTTAGCTGGCCAAATACGCCAAAAAGTTAAAAAACATAAAACAATCTCAGTTAATCTTTAAATTGACTTTGCTACAAGGCTGGCAGGTGACGTGGTGGTTAAGAGCGCTGGACTCCCACATGGCCGACTGTGGTTCAAGTCCTGGACCTGGTGGCTTGCTTTCTCACTTTCTCTGTCCTTCTCTGATCAAATTTATAAAAATAAAGTTAAATAAAAGTAATTCAAAAAAAAAAAGTGACTTTGGTACAAAAGTAGCCCATTTGCAACACCTACAGCCCATGGAAAATGTGCTGAGTTCACTTTCCAGGGTGATGAGAGAAGGCATCTATTTAAAAAACAAGAAAGTATTTATTCCAGGACCCTTTTCATTCCATGTTAAACTGTTATCTCTATTACTGGATAAAGCTATTTATATAAAAGTTGACAAGGACAAAAGTGTCTTAAGACCAAGTCATGTTAACTTATATCACTCAGATCCCACATGGCTAACCAGAGTTCAAATCCCAGTCCTGGTGGCTTGAAAGACTTGCCAGGTACACGAGTGAGCATGCCCAAAGTTCTGACAGGATGAAGAAATGGAGCAGAAGGGACCACAATATGACAACTGCTCCGTGGGGAGGTTCCCCCACACTCTGTCTCTCTCTCTCTTCC